ATTGGGTGTCTGGAGCTCCAGGGATGTCTGCACTTGTAGATCTGCGAGGAAAAATAACCAAACGTGACTCAGACGAGCCACAGAGAACAAGGGTGCTCTTCCGGTCATGTAACGGGGGTCACTGTCGGTCCTCCAGAGCTTGGGGCGATGAGTTCTTGTGCGAGGGACCAGCTCTCCCAGAATTCCAGGTTTCATCATGGAGTATGAAGAAGTGTGTGAAGATGGGGAGACAAGTCTGGGACATTTGCATTTAGAGGAGGGAGAGAAAAAAGGAGCATTATTTAAGGGGATTGAGTGGAGGCAGCCAGGGGACAGATGAGGAACTGAGAGGGCAGTGTACCAAACACCACGGCAGCCGGTGTCTCCAGAGCAGGCCGGCACTTTCTGGGCCACATGATGCTGACCGCACAGCTGGGGTGAACAAGAACTTAAGCCCCGATTTAAAAATGTAAAGGCCATTGCCTCCTTGACGGCCCGGGCTGGAAAAAGTGCTGAGCGGAGCACAGAGGTGGAGTTCAGGAAGCCTGGGAGCCAACCGTAGGTAGCAGTGGCTCCTGGAGGACCGGGCCATCATGTGCCATCTCTGTGCCAGCAGACAAAAATAGATGGGAAGCCAGACAGGCTGTCTGCCTTCGAGGAGCCCACAGTCCAGCGGAAGAGAGAGATGTTTAATAAGTCACCGTGAAACTCCACGAGAGGTGATAGATGGGGAGCACATAGAGAGCCCCACGCGCCAAAGGAGGGAGTGACCAGTTCCCTCTAAGACGACAGCTAAGCTCGGAAAGGTGGGTTCCGGCGGGGCGTCGAGCCTCATGCAGGTTTTTAAGAGTAAAAACCGCTTTTCATCCTTTTCATCTTAATGCTCAGCTACCAAAGAGCTTAGCTCACAGCAGAGGCACAGGTCACAGTTACACAGTGATTTTGTGATTTCTGGTAGAACTTTGTGAGAGACTGAGTTACATGAAACAAACGTGCATGCACACATGTGCACACACACACACACACACACACTCTGCAGTAATCCAAGCAGCAGCAGCAGGAAAGAGAGACACTTAAAGTTTACTTAGAATCCGCTGATACACGTGGACTGAGAGTATTACAGGCTGTTCTAAAGCTCGCAGTTGTGCTCACTGGGTGGCCGGGTGCCGCCCACACCTTCCGTCACTGTCACTGTCCTCCCCGTGCCGGGGGGAGTGCACCCCCTGCATGCCGTGGACAATCGGGCAGGGCTACAGGAGAAGCAAGTGTTCAGCGCTGGGGGGAGGGAGGCTGAAGCAGACAGCAGAAGCCACGTCCCCCTGGACTTGCAGGAGAGAGAGACAGACAGACAGATACAGGTAGATGGGTATTCCTGGACCAGACACACAGATGTGTAAGTTTTCAGTTTACGATTGATATTCATACTTCCCCAAGGGAAGTGTCCTCCATGAGAATAAAGGAAAACTGAGCTGGGATCCCAAGTAATGGCTCGATAAAGAAGTAGGCAGTAAAAAGACAGAGTGCAGTAAAGGAGACCCGACAGAGCCGTCAAGGGGATGGGAAAGAGATGGGCAGTGTCACAGCACTCAGAGAAAGGTTGTTAGAGAGAGAGAGAGAGCCAACGTCATCAGACCCAGAGAAGGCCAGTAAGGGGGGAATCACTGAGGCTGGATGCAGCCATTAGAAGGCACCAGAAATCTTAGAAGGTCATTGATGGAGAGATGCGGGTCCATGAAACCAGATTGTACTGCTGAGCTGAGAGGCAAATCTGAAGTCAGGCGAGGCGGGCAGGGAGACCAGTCCTCTGGAAGGAAACGTGTTTGTTGATGAGTAATTGGTGCAGGGAAGCAAAGCCTGAAAGCTGGGATGGCAATTGCTCGTTCCTAAATTGGCAGAGGCCTAGGCCCCCGTGGGCTCTATCGATGGAAAGAAAAAATTATTGTGCTAAGAGAGAGCGCACCCTGAAACCCGGAAGGGGTGGCGCTGACACTTTAAGAACTCAACACCTAGAGGAGAGGCAGAGCCTCTGCCCTCCCTGAGACAGGCAGGGACCCAGTCAGAGGAGGAAGGACAGAGAGGGGGAGCTGGCGTGAGCGAGTCCTTGGGAGGCAAGAGGAGGCAAGCCAAGGTCCCCGCTGAGACAGACAGGGCTGGGGAGCCCGGGGGTGTGAGGATTCGAAAGCAAGGTCTTACAAAGATTGGAACGACAAATGTCCATTGGTGACAGCGCCTTGATCCCTCATAGCTCTCAGTGGCCTGGCGTAGGAGACCAGCGACGTGTTGGGAAGGGATGTAGCAAAATGAACGTATTCATGACCGTGACGCGGGAGTGACTGCGGCCAAACACAGGACAGGGCTGAGGGACAGGAGTGAGAAGAACCCCGTTTCTCTGTGCTCACCTTACTTGGCATTTGGGCTCTGTTTCCCCAAAGCCAGTGGGCCCCTGGAGCTCAAGCTGCAGCCACTCCCAACGCTGACTGTCCGTTTCTCTGAGGGCCTCCTCAAAACAATTTCTCAGATGTCACATAGGTTTTTTTGTTTGCTTGTTTACTTCAGTTGTTTGTTTGTTTGTTTTTCCATACTGGTAATTAAAACCACCACCTTCATCCTACGCCATATCTGCTATCATTATTAATTTCTTTTCTCTTTTTTTTTTTTTTTTTTTGTCTTTTTGAGACAGGGTCTCACTCTGTAGTTCAGGCTGACCTTGAGCTCACTTTGTAGCTCAGGCTGGTTTTGAACTCTCAACAATTCTCCTGCCTCAGCCTCCCAAGTGCTGGGTTACAGGTGGGCACCACCATGCCTGGCTTTAATTTCTTATTTGAAGACAGAGTCTTACTAAATTGCTAAATTTCCCAGACTGGGCTCAAACTTGGGATCTTCCTTGGCCTTCTAGAGTTCTGAGATTAGAGCTGTGTGCCACCACACCTCGCTTATAAATCAATCATTTGGTGGAAATATGCATCCAGTTCCTCTCACAGGCAAATAGTAACCTAACCCTATTTAGTTACTGGCAGTCCCTAATTGTTTCTCACCACTTAATGTGTGGTCCTTTCCCTTCCATACCGGGTGATAAGCAAAGCCAAAGACCCAGGTCTTCCATGTCTCCTGTACGTGTAGATCCTTCTATGATCCTGGAACAAAGCAGAGCATATCGTAGGATCCTTGGCAACTGCTAGTGTGAACTGGAGCCATTTTCTGAGGAGACACTCACTAGTGTTTCAAGTAGAGAAATACTAAAATCATCATCAGCCATGGAAAATACTTGCCTAAGACAAAAGAATTTATTAACTCATTCAGCAAAATGTCTGTCTTGTGCCACTAAACACTTGGGATGAAAAGACAGCCCCAGCCACTGATGCTCCTGGCCTCAGGGGAACTGAGGCCCTGCTGAACACACTGGTGCCTACACTACAGGAAAACAGTGTGGCAAGGGGTGGGGATGTGCAAGATGGGCTAGGGGTGCACAGGGCAGGAAGCAGTGTCTCCATGTGGGACTCGGGGTAGCCCTGGCACAGAGAAGGGTACGTGAGAGAGGTCAGGGAAGACACATAGGATTCCAGCAACCAGGAAGGGGGTGGACAGACTGTGCAGGGAGAAGAGACTGCCCAAGGACACAGAGGCAAGGGATAGTGTTCAAAACCAGAGCTTAGTGCTCAAGGAGACCAGTGCTTAGAAGGTAAGTGGTGGGAGGGTTTTTTTAAATGGTAGGAAGGAGAGACAGTCTCCAGATAGGCTGGAGAGAAGGCTGGGAGGACCAAAGGATTCAAGAGCCTGGCACTGCTGGAACAGGTGAAGTCCCTAATAATCAGGGCCTGGAGAAAAGGTGCCAGCCAGAGAGAGCACGTAATGGGGAGAACCAAGGGACTCTGCAGACTGATGTCTTAGGAATCCTAGTGCTGGTAGTGGCAGCACCCCAGTTATGACAGACAGAGGATGAGGCAGGACAGAAGGGCAGCCAGGACCTGCCTTCTGAACCCCAGCACAACGCAGAGCCTGGAGGCATCGTGGGATAATGAGGCGATGATTGATTGTCCTTGGTTGGAAACTAATCTTGCTCCTTGCAGGGGTGGGGAAATCATGGAGCTAAGTGCTGACAGGGCCAGAGTGGAGCTGACCCAAGCTTGCTTTGTTGGAGGCTGTGCAATTTGGAAAAATATTTTTGGAAAGCAATTTGCATACCATCAGGTCACAGAAATGTTCAAACCATTTGACCTTGTAATTCCACACGTGGGAATTTGCCCCAGGGAAATAGTTCAAAAGGATGAGATGTTTGTGTTTACCCATCCAAATGTTAATATATTAAGCAATTAATTAGACATTATGCATTTGTCCTACATACATTCCAGGAACTTTGTGAGTACGTGTCTAGCGTGGCCATGTTTACAATAGTCAGACATAGTAAATAACCTGAATTATTTTAAGCCCCACAATGGCTTAATACAGTCTTGAGACAATCATGCAATAGGCTGTTATGCTTTAATTCTCTGGACACACTCAGAGCTCAGAACAGCCTGCTTGCTGCTGTGGGTTAGCACATGTTCTTATGAGTGTACCGTCTGGGCTTGAATTCTGACTGCGCCTGGCCCTGCGCTGCCTGATGTGACAAGTTCTCTGGCACCTGTACAACTCAGAATCTTTCACCGTGATGCGGGCATGGCGGTGCCACCAACCCACGGGCTTGCTGTCCAGATGAAATGACAGCAGGTGTGCAAAGAATGTGACAGGGCTCCTAGCACACAAGGACTCAGCAGAAGTCAACTGTTATTTTAAATATTGTATATTACAAGATGGACAACAACAAAATGATTGACAGGGAGTGCCTTAAATTTATAGCCCCACATTTGTAGCCCAGGAAACAGGGTGAGTGATTAGTGTTTCATGTTCTGTTTGTATCATTGTGCTAAAATGTTTAGCATCATAAGTGAAACTGAAAAACCAAGAAATAGGTAAAGCACATTACTCCACCGGTTAATTCAAGGAGAGGCAGACTGATGAGCCCCTGTATTATCTCTTCCCAGCCGTGTTTGGCCAGCGCTTAGATGAGACTGTGGCCTATGAACAGAAGTTCGGCCCCCACTTGGTACCCATCCTGGTGGAGAAGTGTGCGGAGTTCATCCTGGAGCATGGCATGAATGAAGAGGGCATCTTCCGCCTGCCAGGGCAGGACAACCTTGTGAAGCAGCTGAGAGATGCCTTTGATGCGGGGGAAAGGCCCTCTTTTGACAGGTATGCTGTTCTCACCACAGAGTCCTGGCCTGCCTTTGCCTCCACCTGGCTCACTGGAGAGGACCGCTCTGTTCCTGTCGAGCCAGTGGGATTGGCACAATTTGAGACCCGGAGCTCAGTTAGGAGAGTAGGCTGATGTGTATGAGAAAGACGATGTGAGCCAAAAGCAAAGTGTTACTGGGCTTTGGTGCTGCTTAGGATGTAGCAGAAGGATACGTGCAGAGTGGGGAGAAAGCTGGAACCCAGCTCCAGGACTACCTTCTGTGCAGGGGAGAGACTAGGAAGAGCTGAGCTAGCTGCACAAACGCATGGCGTGAGGCAGACTGGCCATGTCTGTGTCCAGGGCGCTGGTGGTCCTTCCCAGATCCCCAGAAGTGCGCAGGAACAGGATTCCTTATGTGTTTCCAAGGCCACAGCACTGCACGATCCTGAGCTTTTCAGAGAGAGTACGTTGTGTGACAGGAGCCTGGTGCTCTGTCAGGTCTCCTGTGCGGAGATTGCTCTTCCCTGTTCGGGACATATCAGATACAGTGATATTTCTTCCTGTCATCTCTCTCCTCTGACCCCCTCCAGCCAGCTAGCAGGCTTCCCTGCCACGCTCCCGCCCCAACACTGCACATCCCAGGTCTATTGTGCAGAGTTCACCCAAGTTACCTCCACATACTTGTCCTGCTGGTATAAGGTTGATCATTCTTTCTAAACCATTAGCCCATAAACTAAGACTTACTAAGAGGCTCCTGAACTCTATGTGGTTTTCCCTAGAGCTTATTTAGGACAGAAGGATGGGGCTGATCCTGGGAAGGTTGTGAAGACTCGGGGATCAGGCTCATGTGGACAGTCTCATTGCTTCTCTTCATTCCACACCCTGGCCTCCAATCTGCCTGTCCACCCTCCGAAGCGTCTCTGAGGTCCATCTGTTTCTGTCCAACCTCACAGCCTCAATCTGTGATTGAACCAGCATACATCTATCTTTCCTGTCTTTAACATGGAAAAGCTTAATTTACCAAGGGGCTGTTGTATATTAACATGTGGGGCAGTGGTGGCGAACCTATGGCACACGTGCCACAGTGGACTGTGAGTATCACTGAAAGCTCTAAAAGGCTCACCATCACTGCACTGGGATCTGCTTGGGAAGCAATAGGTGCAGTAGTTATTGGAACCACCGCGGGTGTGGGCATCAAGTTTGGAGACCATTCAGCACAATAAATTGGATTTCATGTGCAGCCACCCATTCCACGGGTCCACCACCTTTACATTCAATTTTCTTTTCAAGTTTTTAAGGAACTTTGAGTTGATCAAAAAGATACAGGTGGATTGTTTCTAGAACAATCCAAATGGTAAGCCAAAAGGTAAGAGGTGGTTGCTGATATTTGCCTTTGGCATTAGCATGAACTCCATCAAGTCAACATGGGTGGTAGATTCTCCAAAGATTCTTGGGGGAAAGCTGCCACTCTTCATCATGACAGTTCTGCTCTTAGAACTGAGAGGAAAGTTAACACAGCCACAAGGAGGAAGGATCACCTGGGCTCTTCAGGTCTTCCCTGGCTACCTTGTGTGTCCTGTGACAAAAAAGCAAGTCAAACTTGGGAAGGAGTGATTGGTTCTTTTTTTTACTATTGTCATTTAACTACATTCCAACATACCTAAGAGCATGTCCTAGATTAAGAGAATTTCTTTTCCAGCTATAGATTCAGGGTGTAGAATACCTTGGTCCATGCGCATGGCTGTGGAGTCAGCAGAATTCATCTCAAGCCCATCTTTCCATTTCGTTGCCCTCTGGGATGTGCCATGAATGCCTAATATCACATTGAACTGCAAGAGTTTTAAGATCACTTTTATACACATTTTCAGATTAGACCCCTGTCTTAGTTACTTTTTACTCATTACTGAGACAAAATACCTGAAGCCCAAAGTTGAGAAGGGAAAGGTTTATTTCTTACAGTTTTTGGAGGTTTCAGTCCATACTCAGTTGGCTCCAAGGCAGATGGACATGGCTGGGCCGCAGTTCATGGCAGCTGCAAACAGCAAGGCAGAAACCAGCAAAAGAGCAAGACACACCTACTTCCTGCCATTACATCACATCCTGGCTCCACCCCTAGGCCAGTGTAGCACTCACACCCCCAATCTAAGCCCTAGACAATGAACCAATCACAAATCATAATGCAAATGCATAAGGCTTGGGGCCACCAACAAAAACTATGACATTCCACCCCTGGCTCCCAGGACTCATGTACATTCTTTATACAAAAGACATTTAGTCCATCTCCAAGAGTTGCCAAAGTCCTAACAGTTTCAACATTGCTGAAAAGTCCAAGTCCCCTCTCCTCCAAGGTCTATGGCAAACTTACCTGTAACCCCCTGTACAAATGAAACAAGGTTAAACATTTCTGAAATGCAGAGGCACAAGATAAACATTACCATTCCAAAAGTTACAAGCAGGGGAATATAAAGCATTGGAAACAAAGCAAGTCCAACATCCAGCAGGGTGAACATTGAGCCCTAGAGTTCCATGCTCAACGTTTGAAGCAATCTGGTTGCAAGCTCCAAAAGGCTTGATTGATTCTACCCCCAGGGCACTTCCAGGGATATCAGCTCCTGCAGCTTTTCTCTTAAATCCTCTCTGCTCGCTTTTTGCAGCTTTCCTTGGATCATCCATGTTCCTGGCCTTTCCAAACTTCTGGGGTCTCCACTGCACCTTCGGTTTCATCTTTACATCTTTACAAATTGTCCTCTCAGGGGCACACTACTTGGCCTCCCAGACCTTTTGCAATCGAGGTGGAAGCCATCTTACCCTCAGAATTTGTGTATTTTCCTTGCACCTAAAATCAGCACCATACAGATGCTGCCATGGTTTGCTGCCATCTGGAGCAGTAGCCAGGCTTTTTTCTCTCTTGGCTGTAGGCATCACTTGCCTGGATCGTTGGGCTCTGTGAACCTGATGTGAACAAAAGCTTCTCTATGTTGCAGCCATTCTGGAAACTCATGTGGCCTCTGTCCCATTCTGGTGCATGGTGCTCTGCAGCTTTCTCCTCTGAGCAAATTCTTTCACTTTTGCAGTTTTCAGGCTGGGAAGGGTTGGCACCCAATGCTTCCTGGGATGCCCCAGGGCCATCTCTCTTATCTCTGTTTCTCCTCAGCAAAGTCTCAACCCCTCTTTACAATCCACAGCCTTCCTGGAATTTTCCTTCTGGCCAAATTCACAGAGTTGTAAATTATCCTGCTGGGCTCTTTGCTCTTGATTTGCAACATAAAGCTGGCTAAAATAGCCATGCCACAGCCTCAACATTCAACTGCCTTGTAATCTCCTTTTCCAGATCAATCAGTCCATTGCCCTTTGTCTCAGTCTCAGGCAAAGTCTCTGGGCATAAGCAAAATGCAGACAAACTTTCTGCCAAGCCATAACATACATCATGGGGAGTCCAACAACCAGTGCATTCCTTTTCAGCAGAAACCTCCCAAGCCTGGTTTTTACCATCAGACTTTCCATCAGCATTGTGGTCTCCTGAGCTCTGACCAGAATCTCCTCTACAGAGCAGCCTAGGCTGCTCCAGCTCTATGCATCCAGGTGACATGTCCAAACCTTTCCAAACTCTGCCCACAAGCCATTTCCAAAGCCTCTGGAAAATCATGGTCAGGTACAGTCACAGCAAACGACCCCAATCCTTGGTACCAAATTCTGCCTTAATTACTTTTTATTCATTACTGAGACAAAATACCTGAAGCCCAAAGTTGAGAAAGGAAAGGTTTATTTCTTACAGCTTTTGGAGGTTTCAGTCCATACTCAGTTGGCTCCAAAGCGGGGTGGCATGGTGGGGCCGCGGTTCATGGCGGCTGCAAACAGCAAGGCAGAAACCAGCAAAAGAGCAAGACACACCTTCTTCCTGCCATTACATTACTTCCTGGCTCCACCTCTAGGCCAGTGTAACATTCATACCCCCAAGCCAGTGCTAGACAATGAGCTAATCACAAATGCACAGTGCAAATGCATGCGGCCTGGGAGCCACTGACATAAACCATGACAATCCTCAAGATAAACCCAGGGACAAACAAGGCTACTAAAACTCTACAAGTGGGGAGTAGGCATAGAATCCGAGGGTCAGGCAGCTTGTTGTTCCTAGACTATGAGGGTCTACTAACCCTGGGCCACCCAGGATCCTCCCACATTCCCTTCCCCTTTCTGCTCCTCTGTTCCAGCCCCGACCCCCACACCTGTCTCCACCCTCACTGCACGTGTAGAGTTCAGGTAACGCAGTCCCAGGGATGATCTCTTCCTCTCCCACGCTATGGCAGACTCTCTCTCAGGAGATCATCCTAGACTGGTCACTTGCACTTTCAAGGTCCCTTGCCAATTTTCTTGTTCTCTCTTCAGTTGACTTTGTGAGACTTTACCGTGGTGGCAGCTTCTTCCTCCCTGCAGCCTCCTTTTTCTCGGATATGTGTGAATGGCAGCAGGGGATTGGGAGGGCAGGGAGCTCCTTCATAGCATCCACCACATGACTACATCCTCCGTACTGGTCTTAGCTCATTTCCATTGTAAGAGCCACCCTACTCCCTCTCACCTCACTACAACGAAAGCAATCAGGAGTGCTTGTCGGTGAGGCTGCAGCACAGGTGTGGTTGGGTGTCGTTAAACACTGAAATGTAAACTGTAAATTTTCTTCCCACCAGGTTAAACATTGCCTGATGGGGAGGTTAATATCGTTTCCATCCCATGCACAGTGGATGAGCAGTCCTGCCACATTATAAACACAGTGAGCCAAGGCAAGGGCTGGCAGAGCCATCAAGGGCTCCTGGGAATCTCTGGTGCATCACCTGTTGAACTCAGAAGGCCCCAGGCTCCTACTGGATTCTAGTCCTTGATTAAGAAAAACAGAATCAAGGTTGTGGCACTGGATTGGAGGAAGAGTCAAGGCAGGAAACATGATGTTGGAAACTTAGGCCGTATAAGAATAATATGATGAGACAGGCATTAAAGCAAAAAAGTTTAGAAATAGCTGTGTAAGTTCCATTGCTTTAAGTGATAAAATGTGAAAATTAGTGATTACCATGAAAACATAGAATGGGGGATTTCTGAACAGTGTGATGGATTTAGTGAGGTCCCAAGAAAATTACATTTATGCTGAAACCTTATAAAGTAAAATGAGGAATTAGCCAGGCCAAGCAGTGGACATGATTTATCAGCATCATCTTTGTGTGGCACAGTGAATTGGGTTTTCTGAAGGTTTCGGAGTCCTAAGATGATAAATACAGGTGGCTGTATCCTCAGTCATAACTTTCAGCTCTCCATATTATATCTGGCTGTAATCTTTTATCTTTAATCTGAATATTTTTGTTCTCTTTAGTTTCTCCTGATCAAATTGTCTTTTTATTGTTGAATCTTCAACAGGTTCCATTTTTTTTTCACAATTTTAAAGCACTAACTTTGTCTACTTTAAAGAGAAAAAACAATGGTACAAAATTTCAAAACAAGATTGTAGGAGAGTAACAATGGTTAGTAGTATATTGCATATTGTTATCTTCAAAACCACTGCTCACATTACAGGATATAGGCATGAAACACCGATCAAACCTGATCAAACCTTTCCTTTAGATGAACTAATAGCAGTTAGTAGAAGTAATAACTTTAATGGCTTCTAAAATGACCCAACATCCCTCACATAGTGATTCCCTACATCCAATCCACGCATTTCTTCCTCTTTTAGTAGAAGAAAGAGCTGCATCATTCTTGATGGTAATCCCCGCAGTGCTGCAATCCTCAGGGCCTCAACCCTTTTCTGGAAACTTTATCTAAGCTCTGCTCAAGTCTGTCTCCTAGATTTTCCCCATGGCTATTCCACCTGGCTCTCAGATTGGCTCATAGTCATATCTAAATACCTCACACGCTAGTAAACAAATAAATACTGTTTTTCTCATTTCCAATTCTTCGTTTTCTTCACTCATTCTGTGGGCATGTTTTACGTACTCAAAACTACGCCCGACAGTGAAGGGCACCTCCATGACTAGGATGTTGGAGGCAGAGCCCCAGCCAGCATACAGGGCAGAATCCTGGGGAAGGACAGTAGCCTTCTGAAATAGGGAGGTGACAGGGAGCAGAGGGGGTTAGAGGATTCACAGGGTAGCAGAAGCAGGTGTGAGAGCTCTGCTGGCTGTGGGGTGAAGGACAGCCCCAGTCAGGGGCCCTAGGCGTGATGAAGACCCAGGCAGGCTGCAACTTAGGGACCTCAGGAGAATGGGACTTCAGGGCCTTGCAAAACGCAGCTCCGCAGATTGCCAGCGGCTGTCTCCTCTCTTTTCAGAACTTCTCACCATGTTTTGACAAAAGCACTTTTCCAAGTCTGGCTTTGCCCAGGAGTATTTTTTAGACAGTGACTCAGCAGGGTAGAATTTTTCAGAATCCCCATGTAAAGAAAATAATCCCAGCCCCAGATTTCCTGCAGGGCAGCACAGCACAGACAGCCTTGTGTGCCAGCTCTGTGTTCTTTGGAGGTAGGAAGTTCACACACACTTTGCAAAGCGGAAGATTTTGGAAGATAGTACCAAGAACTGGCTATCAAACACAAAAACAGAAGTGGAAAAAACGTACACAAAGTTCCAAGAGAGCTTTCCAGGTCTTGTTTCCATCGTCCCACACACCTGCCTTCCCCTCTCCTCTCCAAACCCATCCCTCCATCCCTGCTCTAAGGCCACATCCACCCGTCCTGTTCTGTGATTCCCCATTTCTGAAGCCAAGGGCATGCTCAGACCGTCTGTGCCTCTGGCCACCTCACGGCTGTCCGCGATATCCCAGGGATAAAATGATACTTGTTAAGCAATGTATGACTGCTTATGGTAAAATCTGTTTATTTTCTCTTGCAATACTGCAGATAGATAAAATAGCCCTGACAAGTCAGGCATGAGCGAACTTGTCTTAGTGGGTCACCTATGCAATACTGGGGCTTTCCAGGACAGAGGGTCATTGCCAGTTCTTTTATACTGTTCTCTTAGAGTTTGAAAGCAAAGGCACCCATAGATGAATGGGTTTTGCTGCATTCTTCTGAAACTCTACTTATGGATACTGAAATTTGAATTTCATATTATTTTCATATATCATGAGATCGTTTCCTCCTGAGTCTTCCCCCAACACCTAAAAATGTAAAAATCATTTTCAGAGTGTAGGTTATACAAATGCAGCTGCGGGGCCAGATTTGCCCCTGGCCGTGGTCTGCCAAGCCTTGGTACAGCGGAGAGAATCCTCTGAACACTGTCTCGAATCACCCTCCCCACTCTCTAGTCTGACAGATGTGTTCCCTGCCTAGGGCTGCTGTTCCTCTCACTTTCTGGATCACGACTGAGGTGCTACCTCATCTGAGGAGCCACCAAGGCTGAACTCCGGCTCCCCTGACCCTTTACACTCTCATTCATCATGTCCTTCCTGAGTCCAGATATTTTCTGACCCTCACACTTTCTGTATCATGGTACTATCCACACACTGTTATAAGGACTGGTGACACTGGGATCCCTCCTTCCCCTCCAGCTTTGTGGCCCGAGGAGGCCAGGGTCCTCTGGATTTATTAGTGAATCCCAGTGCTTGATAAGTTTAAAACAACAAAACAAAACTGAAGCTATTTTAGGGCTTATTGATTGAATGAATTATTGAGGAAATATATGAATGAATCCTCAAAGTATTTGCAGCACCGTGGGAGATTAAGTAGATCAGTGGACCAAGAATATAAAGAAGTTGGCACATGAAAACTCAGAAACTAGTTAGGTGATACTGTGGGGTACTAAATGACCCGAAGAAAGAAGAAAACAGTGAAGATAAAATAAAGAAGGTTTAATGAAAAAAATGGGCTTTGAACTTCCCGTGGAGGCAGAGGGATGAAATAAGTAAAGGAAAAGGTGTTCAGGGTGGTTATTCTAGAGTGAAGGATTTAGCCAGAGTGTTTAGGTCTGATCTTCTCTCCCACCCTCTGCTCCTGTGCAGTTCTACCTCTGGGGCTCATGGGTTTACCGAGTGATGGAGGGGTGAGAGGAGATCTGGGGTTTGCCCATCAAAAGGCATTGCTTATTTTCTTCCAGAGACACAGATGTGCACACCGTGGCCTCCCTGTTAAAGCTCTACCTCCGAGACCTCCCAGAGCCTGTGGTTCCCTGGAGCCAGTACGAAGGGTTCCTGCTTTGTGGGCAGCTCATGAATGCAGATGAGGCAAAGGTTGGTGTCTCCTTGGTTAGTTGTCTCACTTTACAATACAATGATGGGTTTCCTAAACAGTCTTGTGGTAAGGGACAGCGGGGCAGGGTCCTCCACACTCTTTGTGAAGTACTTTGTCAAGCTGGGACTTTCTCAGCCATAGAGGGAAGATAATACCCATCATAGTGATTTCATGGGATCTTGTAATCTAATAAGCAAATGGATCCCAATCAGATGTCTCAGAATCACTTACAATGAGAATTTCAGGATACTTCTAAGGAGTATCCTGTGAACATCCCGAGACGTGGTGGATGGAACACTAGGACAGCTAACCAAGCAAGCTGGAAGGCAGATGTGGGGTGGAGCTGTTCGAGCTCTGTGACAGCTAGGAGATGACAAGTGGATCATTCAAAGAGTACGTTTGCTAGTGTGAAGAAGGACAAGGAGGCTTCTTTTGATCTTTTCAGCCACAGCTGCCCGTCGGCTCTGTAACCATCATCTACTGTAGCATGCCTGTGAGGGTGTACAAGCCCACCCGCAGGATTGCTGACCCTACATAAATTATTTCCAGAGATGCCAGACAGACAACATCATACACTAGATTCATATTAATAAACCACTGGGCCAAAAGAACCAACCAAAGAATCTGATAAAAGCCAACTAACAGCAATAAAACTGTCATTGTTTTTAGCCAACATATTTAATACCAAATGGCTCTTGAATATATTTGTGCTGTACTATTAATATGGGGAGTCTAGCTCTCCCTTTTAGGAGACTTACAGTAAAAATTCTCTCTGGCAAAGCAGCTCATAAAAACACTACGATGACCGGGATTTAACTTAGATTTTTTTCATTAAGCAAATTACATAGCTTTTATGAGATTCAGTTTATTCCCTTTGACCCATTAGAACTTTCTAGATGATGGAACTGTTATGTATCTGCACTGTCCAATATACTAACCATTAGCTACATGTATCTATTAGGCACTCAAAATATGGCTAGTGTACATGGGGAATCAAATTCTTAATTTTAGTTTATTTAAATTTAAATGCCTACAATTAGCAAGAAGTTCCTGTGAACATCACAAATTTAGGCAATTTTGATAATAACTATACCCAAGATTGTTTGAGGATCAAGGGAAGTAATACAAGCGAGTGATTTTTTTTTTAATGTTGGTTTAGGGTGAGGGTTAAACTCTGCTCTACTTCAGAATTTGTTATGCAGTCTGCTTAACAGAATATATCTCTTAACATGAATAAAGGATGACTGCCTTAACCCTGTGAAAACACAAATGTGAGCGTTTCCATCTTGACTGAAGTGGGAAACCATAATTTTAGTAAATTCTGTGCAAAAAAAGGACTGTTTTACTTTTTCAAAATCAGGCAAGAAAAAAACGATAATGACATAGCCATCGTCCTGTGTTTATGATAGCAGTTTTCCAAACAAAAATGGAAAAGTATTAGATCGTATGATCAGATGTAAGTTTTTCAATCATAATTTATGAATTTGGGGGAGAGACAGAGAAGAGGATGGAAAAACAATTAACTTACGTTGGGATATCAGTTCAGCTTTATGAAAGTAATAAAATGTTACGAAATAAACTTTGAATTTTGGCTGACAAGACAGCCATTTAAGTGGCATCTGAGTTGCCTCTCAGTCCTGGGGAGAGTGAAGGGGTCACTTAGTCCTGACATGACTCACCCCTAAGTTTCCCCACATTAGAACCTTTTCTCCCAAATGCTTGCAATCTTGGCATGCTTGAGAGTTTCTATGTCTAGAACAAACCTGGCAGGAGAAAGGGACCATGATCTTTCTCACTGATGAAAATATAGCAGAGGTGATCGCTGAGAGAGGTGAGTAGATAGCAAAGCAATCACTCAGCTCAGCTAAAGAAGAGTGATCTCATGAGGAGCAGGCACTCCGGACTGAAGGGCTTGTACCATGGCACTGTATGAGGGCCGTTCAGGGTGCTTTCTCCAAGTCGGTAATGAAGGGTTCCCAGGCCTGAGAAGGACCAAGGCCCTTACATGAACTGTGCACCACCACAAGAAGAGTCATAACTGTGAATGAAAACAGCAAAGCACTCCCTCTCTCCCCTCTTGCTAGCAAACACGTTCTTTGAGTGACACGCCCGACATCCATCACCACCACAGAGCTGGAAAAACCCAACCTCACACCTTCCCGGCAGTCTTGTGACTTAATCAGGTATCAGCAGGACCACAATGTTGTTGTTTTTTTTAATTTAAAGAGAAAAAAGAAAGGACATTAAAAAAACTAAGCAGTAAAAGGGTACAAGTAATATAGAATATCAAGAAAAAAATATATACAATAAGAAATCACTAGTTAATAGGTCACATATTGTCTTCTTAGAAACAGTTGTCCAAATTATAAAATTAAAGCATATAAAGTAGACATTCATTCAGTGAGATTGCAGACAGTTCCGTTCAATGATCCAGCAAAAGCTCAGTAATATGGTTTTCCATCCTACACGCTCAAACATACATGCAGTTATATCCCTTAGACCACCTTCCTTTCCTCTCTTTTTTACAATGACAATTACACTTTTTGGGTTTTATTACTCACACAGTTCTTATTACTTTTTTTGAAGAGAATAAAACCAAACATGACTAAGCAAAACAGAGTCAGTTAGAACAAAAGGATGGGCATAGTACATGATGCAAAAATAGAATACCAGGTGATCAAAAGTGGTTACCATTGTGCCTCTTGCTATTTTTAAATTGAGTTGCCTATATCATGAGGTACAATAGAATTGATCACAACAGTACAGAACAAGACATTTGAAAGTCTTCACACAAGTGTCTCCCCTGCTTCACAGCTTTAGAAGTGATTCTGAGAATCTGATTGTGGCCCAGTTCTTTCTTTGGTGGATCATTACATCTCAGGCATCCATTAAGCAAATAACTAGTGTGAGTGTGAGTTGTCAAATAGTCAATGCCTGTAGTAATGAAGATGATCAGGGTGAGATGGGGTGACATAATTACAGCCAAATATAAAAATTACACTCAAACTATGGCCTTCTTCTACATTATTGCTTGAAACTTTCTGAGGATTTGTAGAGTTCCTGATCCGGCCTGCAGATCAACAAGTTCAGAGCTCCTGGAGGGGAAACGGGGATTAAATAAAAGACATGGGGGAGACAAAAAGAGACGAAGGCAAGTTGATGTTAACCCAATCAAGCCTCCGGTTTATTGAGAAAATAATCACACCTTTTATAGGCTAAGGGCGGGAGCTGGGACAGGAAGAGGTTAAACAGATGAATACAACAGGGTTACCATCACATCCGGATAAGTGACGTAAGCAGAAGAGGATTATGGTTAATGTAGTCAGACGCAGTGCCCATAGGAGAGAGAGAGAGAGACATCTAGGCAGCAATGCCTGTCACTCGGCTCCCTACATCTCCTCCCTTTTTATATTATTTAATTAAGAGTATGGCAGGCCCTGTGAGGACAGCGTCTGTCTTAGGTCAAGGACCTCATTGTATGAACCCAACCAGGCCTTACCCGTCATGGGCTTGCAGAACAGCAGTTGGTCCTGTGCCTGTCTTAGGTGGCCGTTGGAATTAACATGTATGTCCTAGTTGCCCGTCTCTGACTGCCTGTCCATTGCCCCAGGGCAGTCAGGCCGCATCATCATATGGGCCACTCGTGGGAATTTCTTCCCTGTAGGTTTGTTGATCTGTCATCTCTAGCTGATGGTAGTGTACCTGAATGGGCTTTGCCATAAATGTGTCTATCCGGTTATTAATGAACATCATAATCCTCTGAAAAATACAAGACTCACAGAAATGAGAAACAATAGGTCAGCTAGGGGACCCAAAAGTGGGACTAGGTAAGGGAAAAACTCCCCCCCCCAAAATCAAGGAGAAGGGGTTGACAGCCATTTGTTGGTGTCTCTGTATGAAGTCATTTTCTTGTGTTTTAGAGCATGTCTTGTATAACACTGGATGCAGTCTATTTGGCTGGCGTATGGTCCTCCAGACCGAGAAGAGCCTCTTCCACAGTCATGGGGTTTTGTGTATGGCTGTCAGCAGTTGTAGTCTGTTTGGCAGGGGTCAAAATCCACCATGGGTGTGGTGTGGCTCAAGAAGGCTGGTTAAGCAGCATAAGGCTCCAGGGAGATGTGTCACCTGTAAGAGAACACAGGGGATTGTGCCTCAGGAAATAACATTATTTCTGGGCGTTACATGGGGTTTTTGAAGAACTGTCTACTTGTTTTACGAGGCGTTCAGGTAGCCATCTAGCTTCTCTATCTTGTTGAGAGTAAACACACACTGAACCTCGTCCCCAGATAAGGACTGGATCAGGGCCATTTCACACATTGGTTAGTGGGTCTCTCCATAAAACAGATGTAAACCGTGTTTGAGTCGGAGTATGTTAAAACCGAGATGCTGCGGAGCAGCCTGAAGCATCCAGGGTCAGAAAATTTAAAATAAAAAGAGCATGTGAAAGGACATTTCTAGGGGACCCCTGGGTGGGGTACCATGTCTCCCTTTTTATTTTATCTATGGTGAATTTAAGAGAACGATGCGCACGTTCAACAATGCCTTGTCCCTGAGGATTATAAGGTATACCTGTAGTGTGGAGGATATTAAGGCTTTTACAAAATTGAGCAAAGGAGGTGCTGGTATAGCCAGGGCCATTATCGGTCTTGAGCTGTTGAGGACATCCCAGAACTGAGAAGGCTGACAGCATATGGGCTATAATGTGTTTAGCAGCTTCTCCAGTCTGGAGAGTGACAAAAATGAAGCCACTATAAGTGTCAATAATGACATGTACATATTTTAGATTGCCAAACTTATTGAAATGGGTAACATCCATTTGCCATAAGGCATTAGGAATTAAACCTCTAGGGTTGACTCCTAGGTGTTGAACAGGTGAGTGGATAGCACAAGATGGGCAATTTTTTACAATTTGTCTGGCTTGTTCACGGGTAATTTTGTAGAGAAGGCGGAGGGTGTGAGCATTGAGGTGATGTAGCTGGTGGGCTTGTTGGGCCTCAGACACCTTGGAGTCCTGAGCCATAAAAACCTGTGTTCGTACAGCAACATCAGCCAAATGATTTTCTTGGGCAAGAGGCCCTGGGAGGTTGGAATGAGCTCGCAGATGACCGATAAAGAACTTATGACGGCAAAGCCGTATGAAGCATTGTAATTGTTTGAACAGATTTGTAGCTGGGGAAGCATGACATATAATAGCAACAGTCTCTAATAATGGAACAGACTGAGCAAGGTAAGCACTGTCAGTATACAAATTAAATGGTTGGTCAGAGTAAGCAGCAAAAGCTGCAAGAATAGCTTCTAACTCTGCTAATTGTGTAGAGGAAGTATCTGCCTGGAGGGTAGAAACATTGTCTTGAGATACATAAGCAGCTCTTCCAGAGGATGAGCCATCAGTGAATAAAACCAGGGCACCCGGAAGGGGTTGTGAAGCTGTGACTTTAGGGAATATAAATGAGTGACGATTAGCAAAGTCAACTAGCTTATTTGGAGGGTAATGATTGTCAATAGTCCCTGAATAGGAAGCTAAGGCAATAGGCCACACTTCAGTACTCTGAAGTAGCCAATCTATTTGGTCTTTTGTAAAAGGTTGAATGATAATGTCTGGTTCTTTGTCAAAGTAACATTTTTCCTGTTTTCTACCCTGGATTATTAGGTCTGAGACAGCTTGGAAATAAGGCAAAAGTGTTCTTTTTGGAGAGACTGGTAAATGGACCCACATGAGGGGAGCTTGTTGCCAGAACACTGCTGTAGGGCAAAGCTTTGTATTAAAAATGAGAAACTGTAAAGGCTCATTGTAGTCCATAAAGGAAACAGTTTGTTGAGCAATAGCCTCTTCTACTTTACTGAGCGCTCTCCTGGCATCAGGTGTAAGCTCTCGGGGGGAAGTTGGATCTATGTCTCCCCGAAGCAGTGCATAAAGGGGCTGTAAATCATGTTTAGTTAGTTTTAAAAATGGTATGAGCCAATTAATATCTCCCAATAGTTTTTGGAAGTCATGAAGTGTTCTGAGGCCATCAAGCCTCAGTTGGGGCCTTACAGAGAGTATTTGAGTGCCACATAATTGAAAACCCAAGTAAGTATATGGATCAGTAAGCTGTACTTTATCAGGGGCTATTTGAAGTCCAGCCTCTTGTAAGGCAACCTGTAAGTCCTGGTAGCACCTTAGGGTTTGGTTTTGATCATCTCCTGTCAAGAAGATATCGTCCATGTAATGAATAATATAGATATGTGGCCAATGATCTCTGACTGACTGTATTGCAGTGGCTACAAAAGACTGGCATAGTGTTGGGGAGTTGGCCATACCTTGTGGCAAAACCCTCCATTGAAATCTCTGCATAGGGGCTTTAAAATTAATTGATGGGAGACTGAAGGCAAAACGCTTTTGGTCCTTTGGATGTAAAGGAATAGAGAAAAAGCAATCTTTAAGATCTATGACAATTTTAAAAAATCCTAAAGGAATGGCACTGGGTGAGGGGAGGCCTGGCTGTAGGGGCCCCATTAAGACCATTGTCTTATTTATCGCCCTAAGGTCTTGTAGCAGCCTCCACTTTTCTGACCTTTTCCGGATAACAAAGATAGGTGTGTTTCAAGGGGAATTACTAGGAACAATGTGGCCTGCATCTAACTGGTCCTGCACCAGCTGTTGTGCGGTTGCAAGCTTTTCAGAGTTAAGGTTGTTTTTAAAGGCTTATATGAATCCCCAGTTGGCCATGGAGGCACAAGGAGTTGCGCAAGGCAGCCTCACCTAGTGTAACTGTCTCCTCAACCTGAGGGTCTGCATGCCTCTGGGCAAGCAGCTCAGAAATTAAATTCCAATATGTAAAGGTGGTCACAGGAACCTTTTTTGGACCGAAAACTCTATAATAATCTTTTAAAACATCTCTTACTGTATTCCACCTCTTGGTATCTATAGAACCCTCTAGGGGGAACCAAGGGCAAACCTTATGAATAAACTGAAAATACTGTAATAATTCTTTTTTTTTTTCAACCCTTATCTCTCTTGTCTTTAATGCCTTTATAAGGCCTCCGACGAACACTTTGTGTTCGCTCAATACTTGACCCATGTCGGGAAAGGGAAATGGGGTTGTCGTTCACTCACCGTGACTCGGGCAGGACGTCGGGTAGTCGTCTGCGCAGGTCTCGGCACTTGATTTAATGTCCTGTTGCTTTAAGCTTTAATCCTTGATTCAGTTTACTCATTCCTCGGCCGAGGTCTCTGGTTCAATTTGCTTTCACTTTCGGTTTAAGCCGGCTGTCTCTCGAACGGCTCCCTCGTTAACTTCTCCGTGCCAGGGGCCCCACGTTGGGCGCCACTTGATCCGGCCTGCAGATCAACAAGTTCAGAGCTCCTGGAGGGGAAACGGGGATTAAATAAAAGACATGGGGGAGACAAAAAGAGACGAAGGCAAGTTGATGTTAACCCAATCAAGCCTCCGGTTTATTGAGAAAATAATCACACCTTTTATAGGCTAAGGGCGGGAGCTGGGACAGGAAGAGGTTAAACAGATGAATACAACAGGGTTACCATCACATCCGGATAAGTGACGTAAGCAGAAGAGGATTATGGTTAATGTAGTCAGACGCAGTGCCCATAGGAGAGAGAGAGAGAGACATCTAGGCAGCAATGCCTGTCACTCGGCTCCCTACAAGTTCCAAGTAATCCTTTAAACTACTTGCAAAACCCTAAGATCTAAGATCGGGAGTGATTGCTCAAGTGGTGTTTCGGTGCAGGTACATCAGTGATGTTGCCAGCGCCCTGCTGGTCAGTGGGAAGCCTGGCTGACGTGTTAAAATGTTTTTCCTAGGCTCAGCAGGAGTTGATGAAACAGCTCTCCCTCCTTCCTCGGAACAACTACAGCCTCCTGAGCTACATCTGCCGGTGAGCTCCTGATATCAGCTCTACACTTTTGAGCCACATCAGAAAGCAGCTCCTGCTTAGAAGAGGAGGAACTCGGGGGAGTCAGCTGTGTTCACACAGCAGAAGGGTGGGGAGAGACAAAGAGAAAGAATGAGACAGAGAGAGAGAGAGAGAGAGACAGACAGACAGAGGCAGAGAGACAGAGAGAGACACAGAGAAGAGAGAGATGCATGTTCCCACAAGATAATGTCCAAGACCCCTAAAACTACAAAATAAGCATGGTCCTACATCTGCTGGGCCACTGCCCAGAGTCCTGGCCGTGGAGCAGAGCCCTGAACCCTTACGTTTCTAGCATTGTCTCTAGCTTCCTGACTCTGGACCACAGTTTAATGACCCAGAGACATTCATTCTGGGGCACCCCTCTGCTGTCCTTCAGTCCTTTCTAGGGACCCGCCAGCTGCTGTTTCTAGTTTGTGGATAGATCCAGATCTGCTGGGTCAGAAACTTGAATCTCTGTTACACACCGACCTTAATTTTGACTTTTATATTTTCACAATGTAGCTTCCATATTATACGAGCGATAGTTTCTTGCTTTAGAACAAAATAAGATACAGTGACCTGTAAATAAGAAATAAAAATTACTCACAACTCCTTGTCAAACAATACCTGGGCTTATATCTTTCCAAGTGTTTCTTGATATTTTTATAGCTAATTGAAATTTTACTATACATATTATATTTACCCAGATACACATATGGTTTTATCTCACTTTTTTTGGCTTGCAATTATAATGTGCTTCTCTTATGTTGTAAAGGAGTTAGAGGAAGGCAGATCGTTCCAAGTTCAAGACCAGACTGGGCTAGGAAGGAAGCCCAAGGCCCGCCTGAACCAAATAGGGAGACCCTGTCTCAAAAAAAGACAAAAAACTAAGAATTAAAAAGCTGGAGCCTGTCACCCACTTGTGCGATTCTCCTCCCCAGGTCCCACCCTTTCCCTGGCAGCTTGGGCACATTGTCCCTCATGGTTTCTCCTTCCGTAAGGATCCTAGATCCTTCAGGTCAAAGCTCAACTCTTGTGAGAAGAACAAAGCAGTTTTATTCCTGACATAAGAGGAAAGAGTTGGCATCCTACCAGGGCCTCACTGGTACCTTGAAGTACCTTTCTTGGCAACTTGCTGATTTCTACTATGGGATTTCTTGGCTGCCTGCAGGTTTCTGCATGAAATCCAGCTGAACTGTGCTGTGAACAAGATGAGTGTGGACAACCTGGCTACAGTCATTGGTGTGAATCTCATCAAGTCAAAGGTGGAGGACCCCGCTGTGATCATGAGAGGTACATAAGGCTGGTCCTGCAACAAAGGCATGCATGCAGTAAGGGACAGTAACACTGTTACTAATGTTTGTGTCCTGATCTGCAGTTTACAAAGCATGTTCAACTGATTATCATATCTGAATTATATTAAAAGTGCTATGAGGTAGGCAGAGCTAGAATTTGATCAATTTTCCAGATCACAAGAGAGAGGAAAAGAGGTCAGGAATATTCTCAATAGTTATTCAGTACAATAGGCTACCATGAAAAGAATGTTTCCTAGTTTTCTATTACTTTTCTATACCCTTAGCCAGACAAAGAAAACAAGGTTTCATTTTATAATCTATCTCATTAAAAGGCTGCTGGAGTGCTGGGGTCAGAAAGTTCTGAGGGTGTTCGCTCAATAAGCAAAAGTCTTGGCATTGAGTACTGACATCTACTGTGTGTGAGGAGGCAGAATATGCGTGACTCATGTTTGCCATGTGTCCAGTGAGAAATCAGATGCCATGCTGAGGGCCACAGCCCAGAAGAAAGATGCTTTCCTTTTCCCTCCTGTTATATGGCCTGCTTTTCTGATTAAGTGACCTTGTGCAATGTAGGCTGAAAAGATCTTTAAAAAGTCTCCTCTTTGGCTGTATTCTCACATTTTCTTCTATTCCATCGTTTTCACCATAATCTCCCATTCAAAGGACTTTAAAAAGGACCTGTGAGGAGCAAAATGAGCTTCTGAGCCACATTTGGATATGTAGTGTTGGTAGGAAATTTTGAGGGCTTCCTGCCCTCTGTCCCACGGTCCAGCGCTGTGACCCTCTTTATTTTCCCAGGGACTCCTCAGATCCAAAGAGTGATGACCATGATGATCAGAGATCATGAAGTCCTCTTCCCCAAGTCCAAGGATATACCCTTATCACCTCCTGCCCAGAAAAATGACCCCAAGAAACCTCCAGTGCCCCGAAGCTCTGTGGGCTGGGATGCCACTGAAGACCCCTCCATTTCTAAGACAGACAACTTCAGTAATGTGGTAAGACACAGTCTGCTTTCCGCCTCCTTTGACTCTTCCTTTGTGCCAAAGCATGTCATGTAAGAGCTGCTCTGGGGTGAGTTTGGGGCTGTCTACAGCTGGTGCAGACCACGTGAGCATCTTGAAATCCTTGCCTCTTTCGAGGCCCATTCTCTGTCAGTGTCTTGGGGGTGGGTTGTAACTGTGCACCTGTGTCCCAATGGGTGGGCAATGGATCCTCTAGGAAACCTCTCTGAAAGAGAGACCTTTTCAAATACCGAATGTCCAGGCCAATTAAAGGGAAAAAAATAGGCACCATATTGTAAATGTTTTAGTGAGATTTGTTGAAAAGTCTGTGTGAAAGTCCAGAGAGAACTGGTTTCCTGCTAACTCTGAAACGTGATTCCTCGCTCAGAGCGTGTGCTATTTCGTGTAATATTTCTCATTCCCTGATAAGCCTGCTCACAGTGTCACCCCCCTCATTTGTACTGAGCGGTTGAAACTCACGTTCTCAGCATCCCAAAACTCTGCAGATTCCACGACGTGGACTATTTGGGGGCATTAATTTGTAAAGGTCAAATATTTTTATGTGTTTATAGAAACAAATATTTTTAAAAAGAACATATGAACTTTATATGCAGCTTTCTTTATGTGTGGCCAAGTAATGAATTTAAGACTTCTGATTGGCCACATAATTTAAATTACCTATAATACTATTAACCCTGCAGTTAAAAAATAAAAATAGTAATTCTGGTGATTGTGTTCTTTCTTAGATGAGGTTTGTCTGGAAATAAGCATCTTGTGACCATCTTAAAAATAAATTAAAATTCAAAATGCTTATTTTATGTAATAAAACCATCTCAGCAGTCCCTGAGCAGAGCCATTACTATGCTCATTTACAAGGTTTTCAGAATTCTCCATTTGCTATGGGCAGCCACTGGGCCAAGACATTTAAATATATCACCTTTGGAGTCTTCTCCATAACTCTGCAGGGCGGAAGTTATCATGTGCGTCCTTTAAGTGAGAAACTGAGGCCACAGAGGTTGACCAGCTCGCCCAAGGTAGACGCTCCAGTGTGTCTCAGGGTTGGACTCAGTGTAGTTCCTGCTTCATTCTCGGGTGCTTTTGAATCCAGAGTGAGGTGCAGGCGAACATCTAGAAGGCACAAAAAGCTTGAACTCTCATGTTCCTGTTTTTTGTGCTTTGAGTCCCCTCTCCCCCTTCTTCTCCCAGTCCATCTCCTTCTTCCCCTCTCTCATTTAAAAATTTATGATATATGCACATGATTCGAAAAGTTAAAAGGATAAAAAAGTTATACATGGAGAAGTCCTGCTCCCTCCCCTCTTAGACCCATGCAATTTATGTCTCCCTGCCTTTAATAGTTTCTCTGGTGGTTGTTCCTTTATGTAATTGCAGCATAATACATGAATGTAAATTATTACCTTACTTCCATGTTTACATAAAATATAATTTAATTTCTCTCTCTCTCTACACACACACACACACACACACTACTCTGTGTGTTGAATTTTTTAAGCTAATAGCGTAACCTGGCAACTTTTTCACATCAATACCTGAGCAGTTCTCTCACATAATCTTATGCTTTTAGCAGGTGTATAGTGTTCCATTCTGTGCACATATCATAATATACTGAACAGAACACTTAGGACAGTTATTTTCAGTCTTTTGCACAAAAGCAAGGCAATATTGAATAACTTTGACCATATCTCCTTTTGTACCCAGGCAAGTTTATTTCTGGAATACATTCCCAGAAGTGGAATAGGTGGGTCAGAATGTAAATAGACTTAAATATATGATTTTGACAAAAGATATTAGCATTTGTGCTATTTTATACTTATGCAAGCAATGCTTAAGAACTCTCTTATCTCCCAGGGTTTCAGCAATAGAATATGTTTTCTAATGTGGTGTTATTGAAAGCTGCCCATCTGATAGGCGAGAAGTAACATCGTAGCAATTGTAATTTTTTGCCAGTGTTAACCCTGAGGAAATGCTCTACTATCGAGGTACATCAGCAATCTTTATTAAATTTTATTTTGAGACACAGTCCCACTAAATTGTGCAGGGCAACTTTGAACTTGTGATCTCCTTACTTCAGCCTCTGGGGTAACTGAGATTACTGTACTGGTTAGTAATCTAAATCTTGAGTTTCTCCTATTTTCTTTTTTTTTTTTTTTTTTTTTTTCCTTTTATCCGTACCGGGGATCGAACTCATGACTGCCTGCTTGCAAGGCAGGTGCTTATGCCGCTGAGCTAAATCCCCAGCCCCTTTAAACATATTTTTAATGTGTGCAGACAAGTTGTAATTTTTTAACCTGTATGAACTGTTTAATTTTGTCCATTGACCATATTTACATTGATTGTTGGTCATTTTTTCTCAATTTTTATAAACTTTACATAATCATAGCTAACAGGAGTGTCCCCTTTGTGTATAAAGGAGAATTGCCTATATATACATTGTAAATATTTGTCAGTTTATCTTTTGGTATTTGTATAGTATGTAGTAATTTGCTTCTTCTGTTCATTTTAATTTTGAAGGTCACAGAAATCCACATCAGTTAAATTCTTTGTACTTTTCTTTATGGCTTCTGGACTTTTAGGGATAGTTTAAAAGATCATTCATCCTAAGCTTATAAAAGAATCTTAGTTTAAGATTATTTAGCCACAAACAGGCAATTATTTTGGTCATCACTTTATCTCTACAGCATGAATTAGGTCCTTCACTGCAACACTCTTTTGAAAAATTACCAGGCAGCTAATCGGCCAAGTTAATAAGCTAAGAGATAGTCTTCTAATTCAGTGTCACAGGTGTGCAATCAGGGGAACATTTTCATCCAGGTCTCTAATCCTTCTTTGGGGGGCCTGGCACATAGGTGAGAAAACTCATGTAACAACCATGACTTTTTTTTCTAGACAAGTGACTCCAATGCCACCAGCCCCTCAGGATCACAGCCAAGTGACAGGCCTCAGGATGACAGCAGCAATGCCTCCCGAGAAAAGCCAGGCGATTGGAAGCTGCAGTCTCGAAAAAGGACTCAAACACTCCCTAACCGGAAATGTTTCTTGACATCAGCTTTTCCAAATACCAACAGCAACAGAGTGGAGATCTTTAAAAATGAGTTTTGGTCACCTTCATCAGAGGCTAAGGCCGGGGAAGGGCACAGGAGAACTATGTCTCAAGACTTGCACCATCTTTCTGACTCCCAGAGAACTTCAACCTATGATAATGTCCCTACCCAGCCAGGGTCTCATGGGTGTGAAGGGGGTACCCTCTCTTCCCCTACCTCTGACTCCAAGAGAGATGCTTTTGCAAGCACAGACTCTGAAACGGGGCCTGCAGAAGAGGTACTTGATTCTTTGCAGAAGACGGTCCAGGACCTACGGATGCAAATAGAAACACAGAAGAAAACTTATGAGGAACAGATTAAAAAGTAAGTTACGTACAGAAAACCATGGAGAAGCACTAGGCTTCCATCCTTCGAAGCCATCTGGATTGTTCTCATCTGCTGAAGAGGTCACATTATAGATTTTCTACATAGCAGAAGTAGTAATATATGTGCTGAGTTTTTCTAAGGAAAAGGGTAAATGTGGTGATGGGCTGATGAAGTTAATGAAAACCTAATGCTTTAATAGAATTAGGAAAACTTAAATACCTAGTTTAAGTAGCTAACCTAACAATTTCCTAGTAGTGGTTCTTTATAGATCATCATATTTACTGAATTAAGAGAAAATATTTCACATGAACAGCATTCTTCAATTTCTGCAAATACTTTTTGAGTACCCACTTCCTGCCAGGCTCTCTTTGAGGTTTTGGGGAAGAGCACGGAGCAAGACAGCACCATAAAAACTATATACCTACAGTCCCCTCTTCTACTGGGGGCAACAAATAATAAAACTATGGAATAAAACACATTATGTCAAATGCTGGAAAACGCTTTGGGGAAAACAAATAGGTCAAGAGGTTGGAGAGTACAAACATTTATTAGAAATGTTAGTATTAAATAGAGTGTTTGGGGAAAGCCTCACCAAGAAAGTGGCATCTAAGGAGATGCCTGGAGGAGATGAGGGGATGAGCCAGATGTACAGATGGAGAGAAGTGTGCCAGGAACAGAGAAGCCATGGTGGAGGCTGTGAGAAGTGCAGACTCGGTACACTGGTGCTCAGGAGGAATGGAAGGGCCTGGCTCAGGGGGAGAGCAAGTTGTAGGAGACACAGATACAGGAGGTTTTGCCAGCCCCTGGGAAACCTGACAGTGGTGCAGGCTTCCAACAGATTTGTGCATCATCCAGTCACTGACTTCTCCCTGAGCAAAGCTACAGGCAGACAGCACAATCTAATGCCTAGGCCAAGTGCATAGGAAGTGTTCTCTCGGGTCGATGAAGAATTCTCTTGGAGTCTTTTCATACTGCTGATTGGCCTGGAAATTCTTTTTTATGAGCCATAACCTCATTCTATGTTAGCTCACATGAACATTAGTCATAAGATTGGCAAATGTGCACTAATGGGTTTTCATATTTATGGTCACTTCTTTATCCATTAGGATACGGGAAGAAAGAAAGCTATGGGCCCTCATCCATGTACCCTGCATGGAGCTGTCTATATAGAAGCAAAATGTAATGCTTTTAGCTAAGAATCTGAAATTTATCCCTTGTAGGATTATAAGCCACCAATTGGTCATTGCCAGTTGACATCTTGGCAGTGACCAAAGCAGCCCAGAGAAGGCTGATTGTGCTGTGTACCGGTCAGCTTTGTTGGACAAACTACCTGACATCTACAGTTTATAGGGGGAGAGGTTTAATTTGGCTCTTAGGTTCAGAAGTTTTAGTCTGTGCTTGGATGGCACAGAAACAACATGGCAGAAAGATGTGGTGGAGCAAAATTGTTAAATTCTTGGCAGCTGGAAAGCAAGGCATAGGAACATGCCAGAGAGGAAAGAGCCAGGGACTGTATGGAATACCCCAACTCACACCTCCATAACCCATCCAGACACAACCAAAGTGTGCTTCACTAATCCCCTGAGCAGCTTTGAAGACAATCAAGTTGACAATGCAGTTTAACTACACACACTTTAGTATGGGTGTCACTGGTAGAGACCCAGCTGCCACAGCAGTGGCTGATCCTTCTAAATAAAACAGAGTCCTGTGAGTCCACCTACCAAGGGACTGCCATCCATAGCAGGGAGAGAATGATGAACTGCTGGAAGGAGCTAAACTTTGTGCTTTGGACACATCTAATGGAACCCCTACAGTAAGCCTGTGAAACAGGAGAAGAAATGGGAGCTCAGGAAATATGCCAGCAGCTCATATGACTGATCACTGGTGGAGTGGGATTGCAGGCCAGGCTCCTGAGCCTGCTCAGATTCTACCTGTCCACTAGAATCAGTGGTCAGGAGTACAGTGTCTCACTTGGACTTTCTCTAAGTTATAGGCTACGGAGAACTTTGAGAAGAAAATGAAATTTGTAAGGAAAGGGTCAAAATGAATGAGACCAATTTCTCTGTAAGACAGTAAAGGCAGAGGTAGGCAAGATTCTGAAGGACTGTGACGTGCAGAATGGGCCAAGGTCTGTTAAAAATGGGATGAATACACCCATCCCTAAGGCTTGATAGTCTGAGAAGACGCACTTGGGACTATATTAAGATTTTGTTGAGTTGCAATAAAAATCCTGGGACGCAAGAAAACCTATAGATCTTTGGCTTGGAGCTGACAGGAGAGTGGCCTGGAGGCCACACTGCTCTTTTGCTCCTCCAAATCTTGATCCCAAGGAGATTTTAATAAAGAAAGGTTCTGATTCATGCTTTGGAACAGGGTGAGGAGGCATCATAGGCCCAGGAATGTTGGGCACACAGAATACACACTGGGCCAGAAGCCAGAGACTAGGTGCCATAGAGTGGCATCTGCATATTAGAGCAAACTCTTCTTTCAAAGATTTTGCTATCTGGTTGAGGATATAAAACGTATAAAAAATATGAGAGACAGTATCACAAGTGATATCACAAGATGGTGTTGAATGACAAAGAAAGGGCTCAGTCATACTCCGTACTGGAGTTTCTTGGAAGGCACAGGAGAAAAACATAAATGAGAAGCGTGGGAGGGACTTCACTGGTGAGTTTTGCAAAGGAGAAGGAATAGTGGTGTTCTGAGTGAGGGAATGTGATTTAAAGAGTTTAACATTAATGCCCTACTCTTTCATTCTTTTCTTTCCTTCCTCACAGTCTTGAGAAGGAAAATTATGACGTCTGGGCTAAAGTGGTAAAGCTCAACGAAGAGTTAGAGAAGGAAAAGAAGAAATTTGCAGCTCTGGAAATTAGCCTTCGCAATGTGGAGCGCTCCCGGGAGGACGTGGAGAGGAGGAACAGGGTTTTGGAAGAAGAAGTCAAGGAGTTTGTTAAATCCATGAAGGAGCCCAAGACTGATCCTTGAGGGTCCTGCAAGGACCACAAGGATGACCCAACAGAAGTTTGACTCTGCTCCTATTCTCAGTGGTGCATAACAGCTGGAGAGGTAATTTAACTCCCTCAGAGGGAAAGGACATTGTAGGGAAATGTTACTTTGCCCAGTAAGTTAATCAGTGGAGCTCGCAGATGGATGAGAATGAGGAGGGACACGTGTGGACACCTGTGACCACTTGTTGTTGAACTTGAAGGGATTGTATTATTCCTTTGTGGCCTCGGGAAGAGTGAATGAAACCTTCCATGGTGGATAACTAGTTCCAACAGAGCTGCACGAGACAGTGATATCTCAGGACCCACATGGAAAGCTGGCCCTAATCTCAAACTGGGAAGAGACATTAGTTGTTTGTTTCTGCGTGAAATAGCTCACCCAGTCAGATGGCTTCAAAATATCTCTGGGGCACGGGCAGAAAATGGTATTCAGCTCTTCAGAGCTCCTCATGGAGGACTGTGTGATTGGGAGGCTGCTCCTGCTGCGGTGGGAACCCCATTCTGCTCCAGGGGTTCTCAGACCCAAGGTTAGATTAAAACAAATCAAGCAATAAACTATATTTATAAATGCAAAATTGAAGACAAAATTGTATTCAAATAAAGTAACTTTAAAAACAAAAAAGAAAGAGCAAGGCTGTTGCTAGTGCACACAACACCTTTGTAAGAATTAGTAAATGACACCCTTTTCTCTGAGGAGATGTACCTCTCTTGGGGGCCCATGGTTTGCTGATCAGAACAAACACTCTTTTGCCTTTCAAATGGCCTCAACTGTGTGTGGAGGCCCAAGACGAATGCCTTCCTGCTCCGATGTGACCTTAGACACTTGTGATTTTATTTAGTAAAAGTTATGAGAATAATATTTTTTCCACTTGCAAAGTGCAAGTGATTCTACCTTGTAAAGCTACACTGGGCACTGGACAACATCTGGGAGATGAATTTTCCAGCAGATGGTCAGTGTGCAGAAGATGTGGTGGCAGGGTAAAGGGGCGATTTGGGACATTATTAGGAATATAAATAAAATATTTGATTTCCTCAGATCTTCTTGTTCTTTAATTAGACACCTATTTTTTCTTTTCTTTTTCTTTTTTTTTTCTTTCACTCTCTCTCTCTCTTTTTTTTTTTTTTTTGAGACAGATTTTACTGTGTAGTTCAGACTGGCTTTGAACTCACTTGCCCAAACTCACCACTCATGGTGATCTTCCGGCTTCCGCCTCCTGGATGGTGGGATTACAGAGGTGCATCACCACTTCTGGCTTATTGGATACCACCGTACTCAGTGCCTCAAAAACATAAGCTTAAGATACATGACAGGGTAGCTCTAGGCCTTGCCTGAGCTGAGGTCCAGTTTCTGGAAGTTGGTACTGAAGACGTCAGGTGCTCTGTTGGACCCCGAAATTCTCAGCTTTATTTCCAAAACCGTTGCGTGGACAAGACTGCACTAAATCTGCCTCTCGTCTCCTTTCGTCTTCTGCTCTGCCCACTCAGGTGCCAAGGCCTCCAGCGTGCACGCCCATTTTCCTGCTGCACGTCTTTCTTTCCCCGCACTGTCTGGAAATGGCGCATATCAGGACTCATCTCTCTGAGGTTTGAGACAGACCTGGTGCTGTCCAGTAACTTCGTGCTTGGGAATCGTCTGGGGTGATTCCCTCCCAACAGATTTTTTGAGGCCTGAAGAGACCAAGTGTGGCACTGCCACCCAGAGCCGGCTGCATAGGATGTAATAAACATTGTTGGTGTTTTCTTCTTTAACCAGTTTCCTTATGCTCTGTTCAAAAAAGCAAGAAACAGGAAACTGAAGCAGCCACAGGCTCCTGAGAGGGACAGGACAAGGACTGCCACAACAACTGCTGGCTGGCCTCCACAGGCTGGGAACGCGTGTGCATTGACATCGGGTGAACTTTCACATTCCACCACTTCCTGTGCAGATACCAGCAGCGAGCCAGTCACGTGCTTGCTGGGGAGCAGAGAGGACGCTCCTGCAATTAAAGCACGCTCCTTTTGCAAGAATCATATGGAATCCTGCATCCTGCCCCAGGAGGCTGGGCAGAAGGAGGCCTCCAGAACAGAGCTGCAGCTGCATCAGCCCAGGTCGCATTTGGCCAGCAGCAGGACAAACTGGAGCTGCAGGGCTTGTGGCTCAGATTTTCCAGAGTAAATTCAGATAAAGAATGAACAGAACACTCACGAAGCGTGTAACTATTCTATCTTTCCCGATGCTGAAAGTCTGTCCGAGAATCGTTAGAATGATAGAACTAGAAGACATCTTTAAGTGTATGTAATGCAAAACAGTTATTTAATGGATAGAGAAATTGAGGCCAAAGACACAAAATGAGTAGCTGGTGTTTTCCACAGCCATAAAGAAGATTCAAGGAGATGATTTTCAAGGGGTCCTCTAGCTCACATTTCAGAGATGTCTGTGATTTTTAGCTTCTTTCCAAGGGCCTTCCCCCCAGAATTGCAATCACAGTGCAAAACTCTCAGTTGCTTACTGCTGACAGATTTAAAGCTGGCATCTGCTTATGTTCACAACCTAGATCTACCTAAGAAAATGCCATTGTTCACTGGCTTTCTCTTACCAACCCTGCTCTAAAACAGTGCTGTCAGTCTTGGCCATGTGGTATGATCATCTTAAGAATTTTTTAAGAATTCTGATGTTTAGTTTCTACCCATATCAATTGAATCAGAATCTTTGCAGGTGGGCCCTAAGAACTGATTTTTTTAAAAAAAATTTCAATTGATACTAATATGCAACCAGAATTGTTACACTCTGTTCTAAAACTATTATTTGGCTCAAGTTTAACTAATACTAATTATTTGGCTCAAGTTTATCTAATACTAATTATACTAATCTACCTGCTTCCCTTCAATTTTATTCTCTGGTTCTCCTTCATGATGGTTTATCACAGGCTCATTCTTTTAGGATAAAGCATGCCTAAGAGATAGAGTAGATTTATTATGTACCCATTTTGCAGATGGTGAAAACTCATCCCAAAGAAATTTGAAAAGAATCTTTCTATAATAGTAACTTAATCCTGGACAAATCCAAGGATTTTGAGATTCTCTCAACTCACTTGAAAGGTTGACTTTCTACCTAGGCAAAGAAGCCAAGCACCTTGAGGGTTTGATTTTAAAACTCTTGAGAATGTCTCTGATTAAAACCATCTCCCTTTCTGACTTAGATCAAGAAATCCCTACTAGTGACCTTTAGAATATTAACCACAAATATGAATTTACTGGGAGACAATGGTGGGGCCCCCTCAATCATTAATATTATCTCTATATTGGTTGTCTCATTCCTAGCAGAGAGCTGAGTAATGAAGAAACGTGTGTCTGGCTGAGTACGGTGTGTTATGACTAAAGGAATAGATCAAAGATATAGGTATGACAGGGAATACCTCCATGGGGGGCCGTGACCTCCTCAGATGGGTGTAGAATCAGTGACAGTTAAAAGCGGAATTCAGACTGCAGGGTAGAGAAGCTGGCTTGCTCCCAAGCATGCCTGGTATTTGGTTGAAGTTGGCACTTTGACTTCCCTTCTGCCCTCTCTTCTCTGACTGATGATTTCTCAATCTTGCCAAAATTCACTGTGTTAAAGCATCCTGGATTCCTTTGATGCCAGGGCCAACATAACAAAAACTACCATAAAGAGCAGCGGGTATCTTTTGCTTCCCACTAAAATCTGTGCTGAGCATTATCCATTTTAACTCTCAAACCCAACTTTTTGTTTTGTTTTGTTTTGTTTTTTACTGCCACCAACCTTATTTTGCTGAAGTTTTAATGCAGCAGAGCCAAAAACTGAAATGAGCCTGTCCAATCCGTGTGAGGTGATGTTGGTCATGCTTTCATGTAGGGAAGAAGCACAACATCATAAGTATGTTAAGGACGAAGAAGCGAGGTGAAATTTCTGCATGCAGCTACTGGGGTTTATTTTTTAGAAAAGATCTCACTGTGTAGTCCAGGCTGCCCTTGAACTCACTATATAGCCTAGGCTGACCTGGAACTCACAGAGATCCTCCTCCCTCGGGCTCCTGAGTGGTGAGGTTACAAGCATGTGCCACCACTCCCAACGCATACTACTTGTATCTTGAATGTCCCCCAAAAGCCCGTGTGTTGAAGGCCTCATCTCTAGCCTATGGCACTCACTACTGGAGAGCGATGGAACATTTAACAAGGGGACCTGCATAGAAGGAACTCAGGTCATTGGAGGCATGCCTTTGCAGGGAATATTGGAACCATGACCCCTCCTCTTTCTTTCTCTGATTTTGCTTCTCAGCTACCATGAGATGAGAAGCTTCCTTTTACCATGCACCCCATTATAATAAATAGTCTTACCACAGGCCCAAAGCAACATGACCAAATAACCACTGATGGAGACATTCAAAGCTGTGACCCATAATAAAACATTTCTCTTTTTAAGTTAAGGATCTCAGGTATTTTGTTATAGTAACACAAAACTAAGATATCAGGACACTCACTTTTTATACAGAAGCCTGACAGGAGTGCAGAAAAGAACCACTACTTGTGCCTTCTCTAACTCAACACCAAGATGGAGACGCACCTACAGGCAGAAGCCTTTTCCACTGCCTTGAGTCAGTCACACTACTTGCCCTGGGTGGCTACAGGCCCTCGTGTCTCCTGGGCATTCATCATCCCGTGCATCAGCACCACCTGTAGAAGGCCCCTTGGGGATGCTCTGGGATGGGGTCTCATTGGAGTCTCTGGTTCCTGTGGGCCAGGATCCCCATGTCAACCTCCCTCAGTTATTCTCAAGTCTCCTTTCCACTTAGAAATGTTCTCTGTGTCCGTATGACTAGAGGGCCCTGGAGTGAAGTGTACCTGAAAGATGCATTTCCAGGGAGACCTTTAAGGGAAAGAAACACTTCATGTTCCTGGTGCGATTGGTGTTACACTGTTGGAGGTGGTGGGATCACACTTGTCCATCCCTTCTTCATTTGGAGATGTGTCGAGTTCAATATAGGCTCTGTCCTTAAGAAGAAGTTTACAGCATCTGTCCCAATTGAAGGCGTGAAGTTTCCAGAGTAGTGCACTGGGATGTCTTCAGCCTACTTCACACAATCTAGATGTTTTCAAAACACTCCTGGTGGATAAGCAATCCCAGGAAGCATTTCCACATGACGCCCATCTATTGCAAGCCCATCTGATGTTGCCCTGACGTGGACTTGCCCTCTCTCTGCTTCTCGTGCTTGTATCATTCCTGACTTTCTGCAGAGGATACAAAGACCTTACTTTTCTCAGCAGCCACTCCTTCCCAAGCTGTGGAAGAGAGCTTGGTTTACGTGCCACCCCACTCTTAGGAAACGACCCCAGTGAGCTCATGGCCCAGCCCAGCTGGTCTCTGGCAGAACAATAGACACATTCTGTAGGAACTTCAACCTGATCACAGGAAGCAAGTGATCTGAGTGAGGTACTATTTCTATTTTAGAGCTGAACAGTCTTCCCCTGGTGTTCCCCTGGTTGGTATGTTTGCAACATACCAACATCATGCTTCCAACATCATGGATACCATGTCTCCCTTGTTTAAAATGCCCTAGTATTTGTACATAATCTGCAAACATCCTTCAATATACTTTAAATCACCTCTAATAAGCAGTTGTTACGTTGTGTTAAGAGGTAATAAGAAAAAGTGCACATATTCGGTTATGGACACAATATTTTTCTAGTATTTTCTATCTGTGGCTGGTTGGACCTATGAAATCAGAACCTGCCTACAGAGGACTAAACTATATTACCTTCAATGAAAAAGCAACTGTATCCAGTAAATGGCTACACCATGCTGTCATGATGCAAAAGCAACCCTCAGGATTGGAGCTATTGCTTTTAAAATCTCTTGCAGGATTTCGTATCATGGGACCTGATTCTGTGAATATCATGGCATGGCTCTCTTTTGACATTTCCATTGCTTTTCTGAAGGAATCAGAATACATTCCCCAAAATGTTTGAGGGCAACTGGAGAAATGAAATATGTGGAAATCATACAGTGTTCAGCTATTGCTATGCCAGTCTTGAAATAGTAGCT